GGGCCGGGCGCCGCCCAGACACACAGTGACCGAGATCAGGGCCCGTCGGGCCGGGCGCCGCCCAGACACACAGTGACCAAGATCGGGGCTCTGTCGGGCCGGGCGCTGCCCAGACACACAGCAACTGAGATCAGGGCACCGAAGTTTCCAGTCTACTCCCCACACCTTTTGTCCCAGTGTCCTTTGGGGAATGGGGCTGGTTTTACTGATCAGGTTGTATCAGTTCGACAGCAGTGCCCATGCAGTGATACCAGAATAAAGGCACCTGGTCTCCAGTCAGATCCATCTACCCATCCCACCTGGGAATAGTTCTCGCCTTGTAGCAAGGGTTACCTACCTGGCAGGTAATGTCTGAGCGAGCATGGCTCAGTATCACTCCTACAGCATTTGTGTGTGGACAAGTTCAGCTTGTGGGGGTGACATTAGCCACATTCTTCCGCTGCCCCGTGCCTCAGTTTCCCCCTTCAGAAGCAGGGGTAGTAACACAGCCTCTGTTGCCCAGGGCAGCTAGTGACAAGGGCTAGGGGCCAGGCACTGTTAGCTCAGCAGGGGGTGCTGTTGCTGCCGCAGGCTAGGACATGGCCGGGGAAGGAGCAACTAGGGTGTCGCAGCTCAGGGACACTGCACCCATCCTGCCCCTCCTCGGGTTAGCAAGGGCACTGCCCTGGGCTCCTGGCACTGTGGCCGCCCCCTCACCTGGGTGCGGGTGTTATTATCTGTTTAGCACATGACACTAGAGTTCCCTGTGGCAACCCCGGTTTCATGTTTGCAACAGAGCTTGCACCGTGTGCGCCAGGCGAGGTGTCTGGGAACCGCTCGTGACTCACTGCTGCGGGTAACGCCACATGGCTGCAGGGAGCAGGGGTGCGGGCGAAGCTCTGGGCTTTGCCCATGGACTGGGCTGCCAATGGGGTGGAGGCTGAGTGGCACCAGGGGAGCGATTGGCCGGCGAGGGAAGGACTCGTAAAGTGCTGACAAGGGGCTTTGGGAGGTGCCCGTCCACCTCTGCTGGGCCGTCCTGCGGGTGCTCCGACGAGCCTGGGAGCCGGCTGCAGGGAGCAGGGGTGCGGGCGAAGCTCTGGGCTTTGCCCATGGACTGGGCTGCCAATGGGGTGGAGGCTGAGTGGCACCAGGGGAGCGATTGGCCGGCGAGGGAAGGACTCGTAAAGTGCTGACAAGGGGCTTTGGGAGGTGCCCGTCCACCTCTGCTGGGCCGTCCTGCGGGTGCTCCGACGAGCCTGGGAGCCGCAGCTT